TAATACTGTTATCACAACCACCCACCAACCATTACTACACTCTCACTAAGTACGTGCCAAGCACTGTTCTGGAAATGTCACCTGTATTAACTAGTGGAGTCTCATAGCAATCAAAGGAGTAGGTGCTATTTGATCATCACCTTGCAGGGCAGACGAGGTACAGAGGCCAGTCTGTAGCAGTGAAGAGCGGAGCCAGGGCTCAGATCTGGGATTCGGCTCCTGCCCTGCCTCTCCCAGTGAGCCTCTCACCGCTCCTGCAATGGCAATCAGCCCAATCCTGGGACATACTAGGTTGAACGACATGAAATGAAATGAACTTTTGTGACCTACAAAAATGGTCCATTCATGTGACTCAACTTGTTAAAAAAAAAAAAAAAAGACCTGAGATTTGAAGCAGGTGCCTGAATATTTGTCGCCAGATTCAGATGGGGGTTTTCTCAGGTTCTGCTGTCAGGTTTGAACATGCTCCCCAAGGACACTCCGGCTGTGGGGGAGCCAAGTGCACCTGGACGGCGTGGCATTTTCTGAGCAGAAGACAGCAGTCCGGCTCTAGCTGGTTTGGCTCAGTGGATAGAGCAAGGCCTGTGGACTGAAAGGTCCCAGGTTTGATTCTTGTCAAGGGCGCATGCCTGGGTTGTGGGCTTGATCCCCAGTGGGAGACTTGCAGGAGGCAGCCAATACATGATTCTGTCATTGTGGATGTTTCTCTGACCTTCCTTCCGTCCTCTCTGAAATTCAATTTAAAAAAAAGAAAAAGAAGACTGCAGTCTGTCTTGAGACGGGAGCCCCACGTGTGGGAGGTGAGAGCTCTTGTGCTCCCTCGAATAGTAAGTCCTACGAGGCAGAAAGGGAAAGTCCCCTCCCTAAGAGCCACGCTACCTGTCTCCCCGAGTCATCCAGCCACACAAAACCCACAGAGGGAGGCACCGAGTGAGTGACTCACACACTGGCTGCCAGGTCTCTGACAGGGACCTCTCCTGATGGCTACGGGGACTTCAATGGCTGTTCTTCAGGCTGTCCGGCCACTCCTGAACAGGGGCAAGGGAAGGCAGCCACCTGGTTGGCCTCAGGAGGGGGAGGGAGACCTGGGCTTTAGATAGGGACCATGTTCTGTCCATTTCCCCAAGTCCAGCAGTTTTAGATGGCTGGCTTTGCTCTCACTTGATCTCCTACACAGCTGTGGGAGCCTCCCTGGCCAGTGAGAGGAATCCTTGGGTTAATTATTGCATGGCTCTCAGCTGTTCAGAACCTTCTTGGGTGGAAGCCAGAAGTCATGGAACCAGGAGGAGCCACAGAGCAGGGGGTGAGGGGACAGTCTTGTCAAGGGTAGGTCCCCTGCCAGCCCACCCTGGCTTCCATCCAGCGGGCTGAAAGAACCCAGGGAACACAGGTGCCGAGGGGCCTTCCTCTCATCCAAGAGGAAGCAACATTCAATCCAGAGGCACTCATCTCCTCCTCACCAGGTGTGCAATGACGGGTGGGTGACAAGGCTCTGACACTAACTTGTCCCTATTTCCTGACTGCAGGACCCCGGTTTGTTCAAAAGGTGCCAAACTCTGGGGACTTGCTCTCCTCTTCCCTCTCCAGGTGGCCATGGGCCGTGTTGCTCTGCAGACCCAGGCTGTCCTTCAGATGAGTTGTTCCAAGGCCAAACCATGAATGGAGATGACATTACACATTTTTTGGACCTTAAAATCCAAATTCATGTTCTCCAATGAGCTTTATCAGTAATGAAGCTGATAAAGGGGGGGAAATCCAGAGGTTAAAGCCTTTGGGGGCAGCCTTGAGCTCTCTCCTCAAACAGGCCCCAGAAAGCTGTCCACAGGGCAAGATGCGCAAGGACACACATTCATCAAACACACCACGGAGAGAGGGAGAAGGCAAGCCACAGACTGGGATAAATACACATCAACATAAGACTCACCTCAGACTATGTAAAGAACCAGAAATAAACAAGACAGCCCACTCACTCAATTAGGGGAGGAAATGGGCAAAGACTTGAAGAGGGCTTCATAGACGTACAAATGGCCACTAGAATAAGGTGCCCAATCTCATTGTTCATCTAAAACCCGAGAGACCGGCCTCCCATTCCAAAAGACTGAAAAAGGGAAACTGAGTCTACCCCAGACCCAACCGCCTCACCCATCCTCCCATGGCCCAAGCGTCCTCATCTCTTGCAGGGACCATGGCAATAGCTTCCATGGTGTCCCCTTCTCCCATTGCCCGTTTTTAGTCTCCATCTGCAGAGATGCTACTTCAAAAGTAGAAATCAGTCATCACTCTCCTGCTCAAACCTCCCCACAACTCCGGGTAGAACTCCAGGTCTCTCCCAAGCCCGCCAGCGTTAAGATGTCCCTTCTTGGGGAACTGAGCCTTGAATGGACTATGGAAGCTGCTGCTGCCCAGTATCCCGGGACTCCTTTCTCTGTCCCCCAGGCCTAGTGGCCCTGTGACTTGCTTTGACAATCAAGTGTGGCAGGAAATGTCTTTCTGATTAGAGGCTTGAAGAGCCAGAGGCTCCATCCCAGAGGGGCTGCCCCACCAGGCGCCCTGTGCCGGCCCATCCTGATCTATGCCAGCCCGAGCTCTTTCTAGCCATGGAATTTGCCTCTTGTCCCTTGGCCACCCAGAACGGCCCTCTTCCTCCTCCTTCCTGTTTTTCCAAGTGGTCGGTTATGCCAGCACCAACCGAGTATTAACTATTCTACACTTCTCTAACCACACTTGCTATCCCTCAAGCTGCAAATTTCAAGTTAGCTGTGTCCAACATCATACTGAATGTTACAAACAAGCTGAGCAAAATAAAGATGAATATAAAGAACCCATCTACATAAAAGTTCAAGCACAGGCAAGACTGTTCAGTGAAGTCTATGAAGCTCTTAGTAAAATAAAAACGAAACCAAATGACCAACGCTGACTGGTTTCCAGCAGGAAAGGACTTCCTGCCGGAGGGCTGGCCTGGGTTCTGGCAGTTCTAGGATGTTTGCCTCTGAACACTTCCTTAAACCGGACTCAATGTCAAGTACAGCTGACCCTTGAACAGGGTTGAACTGTGTGGGCCTTTGTTTTCCAATGAATAGTGTTTACTTTCATGACCTAACACCTCTGTAGGCTACTTCTCACATGCACCTCAACTATTCTAAAACTGAACTCATCTTCTGCCATTTCCACCTAGAAGCCCCAACCCCTCCCCACTTTGGCAACCATCAGTTTGTTCTCTGTATCTATGGGTCTGTTTATCCATGTTTTGTTTTGTAGATTCCACATTAATATGTATCACAATCTCTATCCATTCATCTATGGACACGTAGGTTGCTTTCATTTCTTGGCTATTGTAAATAATGCTGCAAGGAACTTGGGGTGCACACATCTTTTCAAATTAGTGTTTTCGTTTTCTTTGAACGAAGTCATACATGAGTTATTGCTGCATTGTATGGTCTTTGTATCTTTAATATTTTTGAGAAATCTAGTGTTTTACAATTCCACGAGGGTTCTATTTTCTCCACATTGCCATCACCTCATTTTTTGGTGCTAGCCATTCTGACCAGTGTGAAGGGGACCCTTCTAATTAGTCAATACATCTTTGTGATTGCTGAAACTTCACTGCCCTTAATGTCACCGGCACTGGGACAGCCAGGTCAATTGACATGCTATTTCCTATTTCTCCAAAGGCCATGCGGATTAACTAAGAAGGAGTCCAACCTCCTGAGGCCCCTTTCCTTCCTGCTACAAGGCCCTCTGCCTGTGTGTGGATTGGCAAGGAAGCTCCAACTCCACGGCCCAGTTCATCTGGCCACTTCCAGAGACTTCAGATTCTGAGCCACCCCCGGATGGACCTGTCTTCTTCCCTTGTCTTCCCAGACCTAAGAATTCACAGCGGGCCTGGTCTTCTGAATCTCTCTCCTACTCAAGCGTCCACTTCTCAAGGGAAGAGGCCTTATTTTTGTCTTGAAATGCCAGCTGGACTATGCTAAGTGCCAACGAGGCATTCACCCATCTTGCTCTCTGTGGGCATGCAGAAAAGCAGGTCTGCATTGTAGGCTTTTAAGTCCATGTGAATCCAGTCGTTTAGCAATGCAGCCGTCAGCTGTGACAGGACAGGTGGCCCATCACCAGCTCCTGAGCTGCACAAGCACGCCCATGTTTTATGCACACCCACGTTTTGGGAGTGCACGAGGGCTCTCAAAGTACCACTAGAAAACTCAATGGAGACATAACGCTGACTGCACCGCATCCCAACATGAGCTTCCCTATCAACGCCCGTGTACTAGAGAATGGCAGCTAAGCATTTACTTACAAGTAAAGGGGCCTCACAGGCTTTCCTCGAAGAGCAATTCGGGTTACTTGTACGTACATAACTAGAAACGGAGCTGGCCTCTTCCCATGTGAATTTTACCTCAACTGGTGAATGTTTTGTTTTAGAACCTAAACTTAAAGGATTTCAACTCTGGCTGGTGTGGCTCAGTTGGTTGAGCCTTGTTCTATGCATCAGGAGGTTGCTGGTTTGATGCCGGGTCAGAGCATATGCCCAGATTGTGGGTTCAATACCTGGTCAGGTGGGTATAGGAGGCAACTGATTAATGTTTCTCTCTCTTGTTTCCTCTCCCTTCCTCTCTCTAAAATCAACAAACAGCCCAGCTGGCGTAGCTCAATGGTTGAGGGTTGACCCACGAGTCAGGAGGTCACAGTCAGATTCTTGGTCAGGGCACCTGCCCGGGTTGCAGGCTTGATACCCAGTAGGAGGTGTGCAGGAGACGGGTGATCAATGATTCTCTCCCTTTGATATCTTTAGTCCCCTCTCCCTTCCTCTCTGAAATAGATAACAACATATTAAAAAATTAAAATCAATAAAAACATATTTAAAAAAAAGAAAAAAATGTGTTTTCATTTCTACCCGAAGTGATTGATGTAGATTAATCTTCACTTCAAGGGCTGATGATGTGCAGGTCTGTAAAGGAAGAGATATTTAAAGTGGAGTTTCCACGAGAAAAAAGTTACAATACTGTATCACTACAAATTTTATTCAGAAACCCATCTTTGTTTTTTTAAATTGTTTTTTAAAAAAAATTCCCATTATGAACTGGTTTGGTCAATCAACTACAACACTTTCTAGCAGACATACGGTAAAAATGGCCTGGCTCAGAATCGCCCAGATCTCTCACGATCTCTTGACCGCCTCCTGTCACGCTCCCGTCCCCCACCGCCTCCGCCACCACCGCCGCCGCCGCCACGACCACGGTCTCTGGACCGAGAGCGCCGCTCCCGGGACCGGGACCTCGATCGATGCCTGAAACAAAGGAAAAGAAACAGAACCTTGGCATCAAAATGAAAACATGCAACAGAAAACCACAGCGACCAGCACCTTCAATTACCGTATCCCACCGAACCGACATTGATAATAATTAAAAAAATGCTGCCAATTTAACTGTAAGCCGCAACTAAAATATGAGCCCTAATTTCAGAAATAAATGTGTGGGGGAAAAGGGCGTCTCAGAATTGAGAGGTGTGGTGGCCATCATGCTGGTTTCTGGATGAGGGCAGGATTCTCTCTCTTCTACGTTTATTTGTGTTGGTAATAGGACAGAATCACAATGCCAGCATTTCCTATTGTATGGTGGGTGAAAATCCTCTGGGGTCAGAACTCAGTCTTCATAGGGAAAGTGACCCATTATACCCTCTGATATTGGGGGTTCTCTCCGTTTCATGACATGTCTGCTTGCATTTAAATAACAGGACCAGACAAATAAGACTGCTAGATTCTGCCAGTGGTACACAGGGCAATGCCAAGAAACCTACCAAATCCACAAAAACCAAGGCATCCCAATGGAGACATGCAGTATGTGAAGAAAGTTATGGTATTCAGTGAGAGAATAAAACACTGCACACAGGAACTAATTTTCATCGATCCCACTAGCCTTGGTTAATCTCCTTGGTTAGTTGCTGAGGTTCGATCTCTACTTAAGCAGTAAAATATGCGCACAGAATATTCTTTGAAGAGTACATTTTTATATAGGATACATTTTTGTAATTTAAAGTATGTACTACATGCCCGGCTAGTGTGGCTCAGTGGTTGAGCATCGACCTATGAACCAGGAGGTCACGGTTCGATTCCCGGTCAGGCATGTGCCTGGGTTGTAGGCTCAATTCCCAGTGTGGGGAATGCAGGAGGCAGCCAATCAATGATTCTCTCCCATCACTGATGTTTCTCTCTCTCCCTTCCTCTCTGAAATAAACAAAAATATATTTTTTTAAAAATTGTATTACATTCTAAGCAGTGCCATTTATTTATCCATCCATCCATCCTCACCTAAGGATATTTTTTTTCATTGGTTTTTAGAGAGTAGAAGGGAGATGGAGAGACAGAGTGAAGCACCAATGTGAGAGAGAAACATCAACTGGTTGCTTCTTGCATGCGCCTGACTAGGCCTGGGAACCTGCAACTAAGGTACTTGCTCTTGATCGGAATTGAACCTAGGACCCTTTGGACCGTAAGTCAACACTCTATCCACTGAGCCAAATCGGCTAGGGCCTAAGCAGTGCCTTTTAAACAGAGATGACATTTAGGCCAAGCTTTACTTAAAAACAAACAAATAACATACATACATACATACATACATATATGGATATACAGCCATATCCCCCACCCCCCCAAGAAAGCGACATGACGGACACACTGAACCACTCACTTCTTGCGCCGGCGCCCATACAGCTCCCGCCGCAGCTCTCTGGAAATTGGCTTCAGATGCATGAAGTTGCAGAAGCCGCCTCGTGTACACTCTCTGAGGGGGAGGGAGAACCAGATGAACGTCACACTGCGTATCCACACCCTCCCTCTACCTCCCCAGCCGGCAGCCTGCCATACCTACCCCATTTCATATTGGCGGCAACAGGCTTCCCGGAAGTCGGTCACAGGGGAAAGCTCGGCGTGGATGGGCTGCCCATTGAACCAGCGGTTGTTCAAATCAATCACAGCCTTCTCCGCATCTTCTTCACGGCGAAACTGAAAAGACACAGAGAAAGCTTGCCACCACACTTTATAACACATTTTCAATCACTGATCCAAATACATGCCGTGCGCTCATGCAGATAAATTAAGGTGGATAACGCAGTGCAATTAAAAGCAGACAACCCTCTATTTACAATTAGATTATTTAACCTTGTGATGGTTCAAAATCATGCCAAATGTTATCTTGGTTTTCCAATTCAATTGGTTAAGAGCAAATGTAATGATTTGTGTAGGCCAGTGTTTCCCGAACTTTTAACATGCGTGCACCCCTTCTATAATTTTTGTAACGCTGAGTACCCCTCGTACTCATGAGCACGGTGCAGTGCATATCCCCACTAAACTCCAGTGCAACTCGTACCCCCGCCAAACTCTTCCCGTACCCCTGGGGGGACGCGTACTACTTTGGGAAACACTGGTGTAGGCAATAAACTTCATTTAAAAAAAAAACAAACGCCTGGCCTGCGTGGCTGTGTTTGAGCGCTGACCCATGAACCAAGAGGTCACCCGCACATGCCCAGATTGCGGGCTCAATCCCTAGTGGGGGGCATGGCGTGCAGGGGGCAGCCAATTGATGTTTTTCTCGGTCTCTCTCTAAAATCAATAATAATTAAAAAAAAGAAACCATATAAACTGACTTCTCCCCAGTTCAAACAGCCTTTAACCAATAGCTATGAAGGTGCCCAACCTGAAAAGATGATGCAGGACCCTGGCAGTCTGCAGCCTCCCTATAACCACAGGCTAGCTCCAGCATGTGCATGCAAGTTCAATAGCAAGGAGCAGCCCTGACCAGTTTGGCTCAGTGGATAGAGCGTCAACCTGTGGACTCAAGAGTCCCAGGTTCGATTCCTGTCAAGGGCATGTACCTTGGTTGCGGGCACATTCCCAGTAGGGGGCGTGCAGGAGGCAGCTGATGGATGTTTCTCTCTCATCGATGTTTCTAACTCTCTCTCCCTCTCCCTTCCTCTCTGTAAAAAATCAATAAAATATACTTAAAAAAAAAACAACAAGGAGCATTTGGCCAAGGTTAAAAGCTAATACAATAAGGTGATAAGCTGCCAGTAGACAAAACGCCCACTTGTCACCTTCCACATACCTTCACATACACGTTTCCGACGAGGTGATCTCCAAGATTATCACAGACATTCATCTCCTCCACCTCGCCGTACTTCTCCTCCATTTCTGTGAAAACCTCCTGGAAGAGAAACGGTGGCTTAAGGATCATAATGTTAAAGATACAAGACTAACTGAACACAGTGAACCTTTTCGTATTTTTATTAATAGAGAGATTTTAATTCCCCCCAAACAGATAAAGGTGAATAGGTCTATCAGTTTCAAACAATCTCACCTCAAAAAACTCATCATAGTGTTCCTGCATCTCGACATCGCTCACAGCACCTGTAAACAACAGACACATCTTGCTGGTTAGCGCAGGGGCTGCGACCAAGAGAACGCTTGTGCTTAAATCAACCTGCTACAGGGACACACATTAGATTGTCTAGAGAGAGAACCCGACAGAAGTGCGTTCTACTGGAGCTGAGAGGCTGCAGCACACAGCCAAGTGTTAAATCTTAGTGTGGGGAGACTCTTAAAATGCCCCATGACAGTCTCCCTTCTGGCTATTAAAACCACACAAGTTTTAATCAGCATCAAAGGGTCACATTTTCAAAAATAAAAGGAAAAAGTTTATGCTCAAAAAAATTTTTAATGAAAAATTTCTTCTTTTTAAAATTTAAAAAAGAGGCCAATTAATGCCTCCTCCCCCCAATTAGGTTACAATGAAAGCTGAATCAGGGTGATTAAAAGCTTATGCTCCTGACTCGTTTCTTTCACAGGTTATCAGCCACAGAATGCTATGAAATGATTTCTGATGCGATTAAAACCCAAATGACCATAAATACTTAGTAGACAGTTATCAAGTTCAATTACAGTATTTTGAATGCCCCTTGAGTAAATGGAAAATTACAATACTTTGTTGAAGAAAGCATTCTTATTTTCTATTTTCCTCATTTACTTTCTCATAACCTACATGCACTAAGAGAAATCATGCACATTCTGTGGGTGGAATTTACACATTTCCATTCTATCTCCATTATCACCTCTTTTATCACATTTTAAAGTTCTCCTAACCTAAATCTGAGAAGTCACAAAGCTGGTGTGTCAACAAACTGACATTCCCAACAGCTGGACCAGGGAGCCCAGGAAGGCCGAGCTGAGAGGCTGGGCCAACTGTCTTCAGCGCTACTTCATGGCCAGGCTCCTGGGCAAGTGGCCTCCCCTGGGAAACCCACGGAGGGACCGGAGCTGGGCAGGGCTCTGTATCCAGACTGCTGTCTTTTAGCCGTTTCCTACCCGACTTGGAAACCCTTATCTCTAATGATAAGAACTTTTATCTTTTGATTCTGAAAGTGACTTAATTTTATTTTCTAACACTTAGCCTCCCTGCATTTTAGGTTTTTTGAGATCATGGAATCTAGCTCACTATAGAACCCAAACTTACTGAGACGGGCACAAATACTACTCTTAATGGCCCATCCCAAGTGGAAGGCAATCAGACTATACCTCCCCGTGAGGAGAGACCAAGTCCCAAATAGAGGAGCTGGGCAGACAAGCCCGTTCCAAAGGGCAGGGAGTGTTTAAACTCGCTTCCAGCCCCACATCAAGACGACGAGCACAAGCTTGGAAAAGGCTCTACGACACAGTCTGAGGAGCACTGACAAGTGAGTCTGCTGGCAGCTCTACCCGCTGTATCATGACAGTCCTACTCTGTTCTTTACAACGTGGAGTATTATATTTCCACAACTCTGGAAAACTATTTGAAAATGCATATTTTATCTTTTATACTCTGCTTAAACTTTTTGAGTCAATCAAAATGACTTGAAAGGCAGAGATGAGTGATTAAAAACTAATCAACTAAAACATAATTTACATGACTCAATATATTTTAAGTAATACAACCTGGAAAATACCGAATTTTCGTACAGAAACATTCTTAAACTGGGATTCATTATTAAGTGTAACCAAAGCACAGAAAACTTAGTTTTCTACGGATGAAAGGATATGGTCAAAAGAACCATTAGTTTTAGGAAACTGATGAACCCAGCTGGTTGAAATTTACTGAAAAGGTCTGATGCCAAATGTTTCAGGCTTATAAACTTAAACTGATAATCAGAATCTCATTTATACAATCTGGATACCAGAGCTAGAATATTTGATATAGCTAAATTTTTATTTTGTAGCATATGCTGAACAAGAGCCCTGTGAATCACATGTAAAGACACCAAGAAAACTAACACAACATTCTTTTCCCATAAAGAACCCGCAGTCCCCAAGTAAACAAGCAGGGCAAAGAACTGTGAAGTGTTGTTACTGTTATCTACTTTTCACTCATTTAAAGTTAAGTCCATATATAAACATTTCCCTCCATTTAATCGATCTTACTTAAGAGAACAAAACAAAAACCAGGTATTTTAAACCATTGGCTACTAATCAACCCTGCCACCCTCAGATATGGGGAAAGACCTCTCCTGTCAGGTCAGTATTAGCAACTCAAAATCATTTAGTGTCTGGGAAGAAAAACTTGACAAGACAGCCCCACCCGGAAGACATGGGTGCTCCTGTGTGTGCGGGTGTGTAACTGGGAGACCTCCAGGGTGGGGCAGGAAGCGTGGGTGGTGGCTGCTGGGACCACCCCACCCAGTGCAGGCCACCATACTCTGACAGCTCTGGAGTTAGGTCTGTGCTACAGGTCACCTTTGACAGCATCTTCTATTAATGTTTACAGCTTTCACACAACTGTGGCTTGGACTCCTTGATTTTAACAGAAGTCCAGGATGCTCATTTCAATTCACCCACAGGTGACTTAAGTTCTAAAATCTGTTCTAGTTTTTGAATTTTCCAATGATTCTATTAGGTATCCTGCTCTCGACAATGTTCAAAACGTAATGTCTACCCAAACAAGAAGAAATCAGTAATGTCTACTGAGTGCCCACTTTAGTTCTATTTCCCCACCAAGTCCCCTGTGTTTCCTAAGGCAGTGAACTACCTCCGGAAGTTGGCGATGCCTACATGAAGTATTCTGATTAAAGACTGAGTGAGCACAGGGCTCATGCTAAGGAAACTCAGAGGGCACCTCAACTTGGGACCCTTTCTTGGGAAACATTCCCAGAACAATGCTCGCAGTTAGAGCATGAGCTCCAAAATGGAGTGTAAGGGAAAGAGTCTAATAAATAAAAATCTGGAAAGTAATTTCAGAACAATCTTTTTTTTTTTTTTTTTTTTTTTTTTAGGTGAAACTTCCAAATACTGTTGCTCTCAGAGGGATGAACACAACTCCACACTTAACTCCATGGAAATTCTCCCCTGGGATAGTCAAGGCGAGAGAGAGTGCTCCAAGCTATTGTACAGGGTGCCCTTCACAGTCCTCTCTGCTTTTTAAGTAAGAGGGCAGGAGTTCAAATCTGACAGAGGATTCTGCGGGGTCAGGATCAGTGGGACAGAAGCTCTTGACTCTTCTAGTGGACGCGGTCCTTGACATACTAGCGGCAGACCAGGTGGAGCGGACGCTGAGCTCTGACACCAAGCCCAGGGAACCAGGGAAGGAACTTGTATGAACTTACAGCGCAAACCGTCAGCAGACTGGGAAGAGTTTTGAGGGTTACGGTAAATGTTCAAGAGGGCAATGGTCTGAAATACAAAACGCAACAACTTTATATTATGGAAAATTAAATGTAAACACTTAACCGGCTTCCTGTGGCGATCACTTCAGCCAAGACTCAGTGCTGAAAAAAAGCAGGTTATTTCTTTGGTGGAGAGATGTTTTCGTAGCCGATGGTGGTCTTGGAGCACCCTAGCACTGCAATGCAGAGATCTCATGGTATGCCAGTATTGTATTTCTGTTCACAGAGCGTAAACATTCTCCACTCCAAAGTTCCAAGCCAAATGAGAGTGCAAATAACTCAGCAGGCTACTACCAAAACACTCTTAGAAAAACTTTTAATGGGCAACTGGGAAAGAAAAAGTGCCCATATGAACCGATGACACACTTACTGTATTAGAGAAATACAATAATTACATATCATGAAATCTCCATTTCCTAGAAGAAAAATCATAGTTGAAATAAACCCACACTTATTGGGCAACTTACCTTGATTCCTAAATATTCCTAAAATTATTCGTTTTACAGAAAGAACTTAATAAATGCCAGGGTTCGGTCATTGTAAAGACCAATGACGGCTGATGATGTTAAAATGTCACATGGACAGATCCCTTCTTGTTAACAAATGTCAATCAAAGGAAGAGACCTGGTCAGCGACCTTCCCTAGGACCGCCTACTGAACGCAGCCAAGTATCAAGTTCTTGCTGTAGACGCCAAGGGCTTCCACCACCTTGTCCTGTTTGCAACAGCTCTATGTCAGCAGCTCAGAAGCCAACATTATGTGTCTCAATTAAGAGTGGGCTCTTTAACACCATTGTTTTAAAAAAATTTCTCCAACTGTGGGACTTACAGTGTGAGCCGTCAGCCGTCTGTGCACTGTTTTGGGGATTACGATAGATGTTTTGAATCAAGATGGTCTGCGGGGAAAAAAAAATAAAAAGGGGAATTCTACTGGCTGCTGTGCATATATTAGACAATTGCAAAGAGACAACTTGTTTGCAAATGGCTCAACACTTGTTTGTTTCCCGCAAGTCACACAATTGTCTTCTGTGGAGTACACCCAAACCATCATATTATGAAAACAGAGTTTGAGCAGTGACTTAGGTCAAGTCAGCCAGCAACCAAGAAGAAATTATAATTGTTACTTTGAGTAGTCCCACATTCTAAAAATGTTTTAATGGAAGATAAATAACAAAACATTAGCATTTTCCTACACTTCAAGTTAGCAGACACTAAGATGTTGAAAAATTTACATTATAATCATATTCCCCATACAAAATTCTTTTAAAAAACCAAATGCATAACCCAACTGTATGCAGTCCATCCAGCTTTCTGGTCTTGTAGGAAATGGGCACACCAAATGGTTTCCTAACGGTCCCGGACAACTATCAGATTTACATTTTCTTGGTGGGATCTCTGTTTACATAATACAATAGCTTAAAACATTTGCTCTTTTCCGATCCTTCTTAAGGGAATAAAATCCTTTTTTAGCCCTTCTGCTTTAAACTGGATCAGGCAGACTTGAAACCTTACATTGTACCGTTCTTCTTAAAATCAAGTTGTCTGAAAAAACAAACCATGTTTAAGTTAGTAGACTAATATATTACATGAATCTTAATGTCCATATCACTGTAAGAAGCGTAAAAAAGAAACCCACACCGCATTATGCTAGATATTTACAAGCTGAACCAATAAAACACATGATATAGAAAAATAAATATTCAGTTTCAACATATGTGCAAAGCAGTTTTGTAAGTGGTTTTACAGAATGAACCAGTTCCATGTCTACTATGTTTAAAGGACGGGGATTGTGTAAACACTCCCCAAAGGCCTGCTGCTGGGAAACCCACTTGTAAGAACTCCCAACAGCAGGCAACACACCTGTCACACGCAGACGCTCCAGCAAGGCCTGGGATCCCCCCCAAGCCATGAAGCACTGCCCGAGACAACCTATCCTGGGCCTCAAATGTTTCCCAAAGCCAAGTTAATATTTTTAACTGGAATTACCAGAGTATGACAATGATGGAAAGCTATACTGAGCCCAATTGTTCAACAAGAAAATTAATAAATATTTTAAGTTTCACTGAGGAAACCTGGCAGTGCCTGTTTAATAAGAATTGTCATTTAAAAGGGGCAATGCAGTTCCACTAAGATTAGGGGTGATTAAGACTGCCTACAATCAACCAACCAAATCAAAATAAGACGCTTAAGTTAACAAATACAGCTGACCCCACCAAACTTTAATGGAATCATTGCCTTGTTTTGATCCAAAGTGCTCAAATTAACTTAATTAACACACTGAGATAATCAATGTGGGGAAGCAGGGGGCTTGGCTGGAAAGTTTGTAAGGAACAATCTCCAGAAGGTCAGTCTCCAGGGAGAGATGGCCAAAGGTGGCAGACCCTGCCTGACTTTTCCAGGTAAGTCCTGTGCTTACCAGATGTCTCTTGGTAGCTTAAAGAAAACTGTAACAGGGACAATTTCTTTCTCAACCCAACACTTGGTACATCTATAAGTAGCCCTCCAAAATAAAAAACTCAGGGGACACTTTAAAGTGCTTGGTTACTGCCCAAACTATGGCCACGAGCTTAGTGGCAAAATTCAATTATAAATTAAAGCACTAAAAAAATTAGAACAGAAAATTTAAAGAAAATTCTCCAATATTCTGAAACCTGAGACATGTTCAAAGCTATTAAGATAGATTTTTATTATACTAACCACTTGGTAATCAGGAATGATGCCATCACACCCCCCTTCTAAAAGCAAGTTAAACTGTGGGGTGTTCTACGGACTTAAATTAGAAAATACTAAAGTCTCTTTCTTATACCAATTGGCTGCTTTTCCTAAACACTTAAACTTGTGAACAGAAAGATGTGAGCTCAAAGCGGAGCCTAGCAGTTTCCAGAGGTAGCTACAATAGTTACCCCATATAAAATAATGAAATAGAAGCTGCATGTTTAGACTTCATGGGCGGTCAGAAGGAGATAAAAAATTTTCAGATTCCAAACATTCTGGCAAACATGGGCATAAGTTTGTTAGTATTAGAGGTGCATTATCCCTTTAATATATATCAGTGATCACTTCCAGGGTACAAACTCTTGCCTCTTCTTCAGCTAACCAAAAATATTAAAAAACAAAACAAAACCTTAATTTTAATTAAATCAAATCATAGCAGACCTAAACCCAAGATAACACGCATCTCTCAATTAACTGAATAAAACTGGCCACAATTAACTGAACTGTGGCCCGTCTGCTAGTGTGTTTCATTCTAATGTTTCTAGGTCACGATGGACTTGCTCCGGCCTGGACTAAGGGTCTATCTAAGAAAGGGATCACACCAGCCTGGGGAATCCCAGTGCATGGCAGCCCCCCAGCCCCTCCTGTCAGGTGGCTGTCCAGGGAGAGCAGAGAATAGAAAGCCACTCTGCCTCTCCAGGGCCTGGAAGAGGCTCAGCCAGTATTGGCAAGGCTGCAGGGAGGGTGGAAGGTCAAGGGCCTGTCCTAGCCAACATGCACACGCTAAAACCTCTTCACAGGTTTCTCTAGTGATTAAACAGGGGATGATGCTCTCAGACCTTCCACTGGGGTGATTCACTGAAACAAACGAACATGCTCACTTATAAATATAAATAGAAAATAAAACTAGAGAAATAAAGGTCCCTTTTATACATGAAAATTATTAATTGGCTCTGTAAAGCACAAGTTTTGATAATTTACAGAAAAACAGAAAAGAAAGAAAAATAAACAAACCTGGCTAAAGGTTGGTTTATTGTGCAACCGAGAGCATCTGTCTCCATGACGACATGCTCCAATTTTGAAATAAAATGAACAGTTGACTCTGTAATGAAAAATAAGAGCAGATTATTGTGCTGGGAAGACATCAAACAGATGGAACTACGTCATCAACATGAGACATGCTACCCAATGATTCCCCAAAAATATATACGCACATTACCTTTTATTGATAGCAGGTACCCCTCCCCTCCCCGGCAATGTTTTAGGACTAGTTCCAATCTGCCCCTCTAAACTCCTTCAGGGAAGAACACTCAGATCAAACTCCTCCTCATTCAAATCCCTTCCACTTCCAACCTGTTTTCATGAAGATGAAATATTAGTCTAAAAGTAAATTTGATTTAAATGTTCTTCAGTTTTCCACAATGAAATGGCTTCTCTTGAGGACACGGACACAGTGTAGTGAGGTGAAGGTCCAGATCCCGACTCTGCTACTAGTTGCCTGGGCTTGGGCAAATCACCCCACCTTTCAGGGTCTCATTTGAAAAATGAGGAAAATGCCAAGCTGGCACTGTTCCAAGCATCAGCTGTAAAGTAGGTATGTGCCACACACAGCACTCATTAAATGCAATCATTATCTAAATGAACCAGCCAAGCTGCTGGTGTGGCTCAGGGGTTGAGCACTGACCTATGATCCAGAAGGTCACGGTTCGATTCCCAGTAGGGGGAATGCAGGAGGCAGCTGACCAATGATGTTTCTCTCTCTCTCCCTTTCTGAAATCAATAAAAATATATTTAAAAAATAATAATAAAACCGAAAACAAAGTCCATGGTCTCTCACCCATGATACCAGACCAACAGGAAATTTCCAAAACAGGTCTGAAGTAAATAATTCTTCTGGTTACAATACAATGAAAAGAAGCTATTGGGGAACTCAACCTGCACCTCTGTCCCTATGGCAAAGCTCTCCCTTAATACTAATCAAATATTGGATGATCCAGATCAAATTAAAACTAGCAATCCAGCCAGCATGATAGCAATGCCAGGTGGCTTAACATATCTATGATGAACTATGAAATCTTACTAGATGAGTCCCATTCAAATTTAGACTTGCTGGGCTGGTGTGGTTCAGTGGTTGAGCATCCACCCATGAACCCAGGGATCACCAGTTCCAGTGCCAGTCAGGGCATAGGCCTGGTTTCGGGCTCAATCCCCAGTAGAGGGTGTGCAGGAGGCAGCCAATCAAGGATTCTCTCTCATCGATGTTTCTTTCTCCCCCTCTCTTTCTCTCCCTCTAAAATCAATAAAAGCATATTTTAAAAAAAGTGCCATATTTAAACAGCCAATCAAGAGTTAAGATTAAGCCGAAACTGGTTTGACTCAGTGGATAGAGCGTCAGTCTGCGGACTGAAAGGTCCTGAGTTCGATTCCGGTCAAGGGCATGTACCTTGGTTGCGGGCACATCCCCAGTGGGGGGTATGCAAGAGGCAGCTGATCAATTATTCTCTCTCATGGATGTTTCTAACTCTCTATCCCTCTGTCTTCCTCTCTATTAAAAAAAAAAAATCAATAAAATATACTTAAAAAAAAAAAAAGAATTAAGATTAAAGGACCTCGACGAAACCGGTTTGGCTCAGTGGTAGAGCGTCGGTCTGCGGACTGAAAGGTCCCAGGTTCAATTCCGGTTAAGGGCATGTACATTGGTTGTGGGCACATCCCCGGTAGGGGGTGTGCAAGAGGCAGCTGGTCGATGTTTCTCTTTCATCGACGTTTCTAGCTCTCTATCTCTCTCCCTTCCTCTCTGTAAAAAATCAATAAAATATATTTAAAAAAAAAAAAGATTAAAGGACCTCAAGGAAATCTGATTAGTCAGTGATTTACTATTAGGTAGCAATCAAGTTGGAAAAGTGTGATCTTACCAGCGGAGGAAAATGTAATTACATTACTATACATATGTCTTACTCTAGATTTTGCAAACTTATGTCTTACTCTAGATTTTCCAATTTGAATATATAACATTTCAGCATCAGAAAGTCACCTGAAAACAAAGAGCTTAAAGAGCTTATTTTTAAATAAGTCTCAGAATGGGCAAAATTCCCCTGCCTGAACAATTACTAATCTAAATAATCAAATTTCTTAAATTGAAGCCATGGCTTTTATAAAACAGTTCCGATAGGTGGTTATTGGAATAAACCCCTGAAGTTTTGAAGATTAATAGTGAAGACACCAAATGATAGGGAAAAAATTGCATGACACAGAAGTCATGGGCCACACTGATATAAGCTAAAGAAGGGTATTAATGACGTATGTTCGTAGCATGCACAGAGAAGCCTCTTTTTCCTGAAGAGCTGGCTCATTCAATCAAGATCATATTTAAAGGCAAGTCCCCACGCTGCTCTTCCTTGACTGAGCCCAAAGCATGCAGGGTGCACACCTCTCCCATCCCATGTAAGACATTTTGTCTTTTTTTTTTTTTTTAAATATATTTATTGATTTTTTACAGAGAGGAAGGGAGAGAGATAGAGAGCTAGAAACGTCGATGAAAGAGAAACATCGACCAGCTGCCTCTTGCACACCTCCTACCGGGGATGTGCCCACAACCAACGTACATGCCCTTGACCGGAATCGAACCCGGGACCTTTCAGCCCGCAGACCAACGCTCTACTGCCAAACCCAGTTTCGGCCCATGTAAGACATTTTGATGCATTTAATCTTAATGACATGCACAAACCCCTCCCTCCTTGAGAACAAGATTTAAACTTTATCCATCTGAGTCTCCAGAGACTGCCTTTGGGTGGACACCCAAGTGACTAGGACTGTCATTTTGTCTTGCAAATTTTGGTAGGAAAAAATATAACCAACCCCCTCTTACAAACACAGGAAATTCTACCATGTGTAAAAAACATTTTACAAGATGTATCCTGGAAAACCGAAACAACTCTAATAGTGTTTGAAAAAAGTGGTATTAAAACCTATGTGACAGCCCTGACTGGTGTGGCTCAGTGGATGGAGCTTCGGCCTGTGGATTGAAGGGTCCCAGGTTCGATTCCGGTCAGGGGCATGTAAGCTGGTTGCGGGCACATCCCCAGTGGGGAGTGTGCAAGAGGCAGCTGATTGATGTTTCTCTCCCATCGATGTTTCTAACTTTCTATCCCTCTCCCTTCCTCTGTAAGAAAATAAATAAAATATATATTTTTAAAAAATGTATGACAAATAGGGTTGACCCTTGAAAACATACATCCACATAAGCCTATTTAACCCTGAAAAAAACAACAGCCAAATATCTACTCATTCGAAGAGTACATTAATCCAGACATTAGTCTTTAGTTTTCAAAGCATTATTCCCTCCATGTCTGAAGACATTTACGTTAGTCTAAATTTCAATACGTGCAAACGTGGCAAAGTCAGAATTAAATTTTTTCACTTTTAACCTAGGAACTGATTAGGGAAGCATGCAACCTTAAAAAAAGAGGGAAAAGACCAGCTTTTCCCTTATATTGGAATCGCGTCTTTAAGTATGTAAAGACCTCAACAATTAAGACCTCCGTTATCTGAGGATAAACACGGGCGAGACGTGCTCCAGAGACTAAAGTTGGGGGATTGTCTGACGGTGACTCCAGCACAACTCAAGGCGGCTTCCGAGAGCCACGGGGGTCCGGGTGGCCCCCAGGCCGGAGCCCGGGCGGGCCGCGGAGGAGCGCCGCGCGCGCGGGAAAGGTCGCGCCGCCCTGGCGGAAGCCCGCTGCCCGCCGGGGCCCCTCGCCCGCCCGCCCGCCCGCCCGCCCGGGCGCCCACGAGGCGGCGGCGGCGCGCGGCTCCCGAGGCCGGAAGGACCGCCGCGCCCCTCCCCCCCCCCGCCCGGGCCTTCCGCCGCCGCCCGGAGCCCGCCGCCGTGCCCGCCCGCCCCCCTGGCCCGGAGCCCCGGAGCCCCGGAGCCCCGGAAGGCGGCTCTCACTCACTTGTCCTTCTCGGTGCCGAAGATGGAGGCCAAATACTCCGCCATTTCCCACCCGCAGCCGCCGACAACGCTGCCGAAGCCGACGCCGCCGCCGACACTGCCCCGACGCCCGCGGGAGACGTCACCCTGACGTGACGACGCTAGCCCCGCCCCGCCCGTAGGTCGGCGCTGCCCAATCAGGCGAGACTCTGCCTGAGTGTGGGCGGAGCTTGGAGTTCGCGGGAGGGGCGCCCCCTGGCGGCGGGTTGCGGTCCCGCGCCCACCCCGACCCCAGCCCAGCAAAGCCCAGCGCGCAAAGCGAGGCCCGAGGGGAAGGCGATGGGCGAGGCTTCTCCCCGCAGTGGCGTGGGGCTGGGTCCGCGGAGCTCGGGGAGTTGCAGGCGGGCCCCCCTCCCCCCACCTCCCTGGGGGCCCGCACTGCCTTTGGGACCTTTCCTCAGGGAATTCCCCTCCTCCACTGCCCTCGTAGGCGGGGAATGGAGTAGGGGAGCCCCTGGGCGCCCCCGGTCTCGGGAGGAGCGCCGCGTGGGCCTCGGGCCTTGTCCGGGCTTCCGCTCCTAAGCTGGGCCCACCTGGGCGATCGGGATAATCTCGTTTTAGGGTTGTCTGGACAGTCTCTCCCTGGAGTGCTAAGATTAGTGTTTCTTTTTTTTTAATAATTAATTTTTTATGTTTTATTGATTTTTTTATAGAGAGGAAGAAAGAGGGACAGAGAGTCAGAAACATCAATGAGAGAGAGACATGGACCAGCTGCCTCCCTCACATTCCCCACTGGAGATGTGCCCGTAACCAATGTACATGCCCTTGATCGTAATCGAACCTGGACCTTTCAGTCCGCAGGCCGATGCTCTATCCACTGATCCAAGCTGGTTTCAGATAAGCTTAGTGTTTGACTGACCCTGGTGAGGGAGGAGATCCTTCGGGGGGACATCGTTCGAGTCTGGCTTGGGTTTGAGAGGAAGGAGACCCGAGGGGAAGCGGTGGTTAGAGGAGGAGCTTTGGGGGTGAGAAATGAGGGGCCTGACTGGAGGCCGGATGGCAGGTGTAGGGCTCAGGGTCCTTCGGGCCAGGCTGCAGAAAGGATCACCCCTACTGATTGCAAACCAGTGTCCCTCCTAAATTCATGCCGAAGCCCTGACTCCCAGCACCTCCGTCTTTGACTGTCGTTGGCGTTGGCATTGAGGTCTTCACAGGGGCCATTTGGTTGGAATGGGGCTGATAGAGCCGGCCCTAGCTAATGGGGCGTGCCCTTTTGAGAAGAGGAGGTTAGGGCTGTGTGAGGACAGGGCCCTAACCTACCAACACCTCCAAAGATGCACCCTGCGACACCCTGATCTCCCGCTCCCAGGCTCCAGCACTGGGAGGGCATACATTTCTGTTTAAAAGGGATTTTAAGCCGAAACCGGTTTGGCTTAGTGGTAGAGCTTCAGTCTTCAGATTGAAAGGTCCCAGGTTCCATTCCAGTCAAGGGCATGTACATTGGTTGCGGGTGCATCCCCAGTGGGGGGTGTGCAGGAGGCAGCTGGTCGATGATGTTTCTCTTTCATCGACGTTTCTAGCTCTCTATCTCTCTCCCTTTCTCTCTGTAAAAAATTAATAAAATATATTTAAAAATAAAAAATAAAAGGGATTTTAAAATCGTGGGGGCTAAAAAATAATTAGCACTTTTCCTCCCACCTTTTAACTTCTTAGATTGGGCTAATAATCAGATTAACAGAGACAGATTGGCAGGAGAAAGTCAAAGTTTAATGTACATTCCCATGGGGAATTCTCAAAGGCATGATAATTCCATGAAAATTCCAAAGACAGGGAGGCGACCTTGGGTATATAAGACATTATTCGGACAAAGGAGAAAGGGGGTGGGGTGGGTGGAGAAGGGGGGATTAGATTTCGGAAATTTGAGTGTCGGATTAATAGGGAGTTGAAGAGCAGAACACACATGGCAGGCAAATCCTTGCTAGGCAACTCAGAAACCATGGGACGCAGGATAGCCAGCTCACAGGCACCTGCCGGACGCCCTCTTATTTGCCATCTTTAATTCAAGGTAGGCCAAGCAACAGCCTAACAACTCTTTCCTGAACAGGTTTCTCTGAAGTTCTTGGGCAGGAAAGGGAGGAGAATGAAGCTTGTTTCTATAAACTGCTTACTGGAGAGTATTATGTGGAGCGAAATAAGCCAGTCAGAGAAAGGCAAGTATCACGTGATCTCACTCCTATGTGGAATCTAATGAACCAAATAAACTGATGACCAAAAATAGACCCAGGCACATAGCAGCATCAGCAGACTGTTGAATCTCAGAGGGAGGGCTGGGGAGGATGGGTGGGAAGAGATCAATCCATGAACTTGTATGCATATATGCATAACCCATGGACACAGGCAATGGGGTGGGGAGGGTCCGGGTTAGGGGGAGGGGAGGGCAGGAGGGAGCTGGAAGAGGTTAATAGGGGGGAAAGGAGGACCTATGTAATACTTTCAACAATAAACAACTTAAATCAATATCCCCAAAAAGGCAGCTTCAGGTGGCAAAACTTTGGTCCCTTCACAAGGAAATTGCTGAGATGGCTGCTGCACGGGGCTGGGGAGAAGCCTGCTGGCCCTGCTGCTGCACTCTGACCCCTTCCCCACCCCCCCAGTGACACTAGGAACTCCGTGTGGCTGCCCACCTCTGCTGCCTGAGTGGGGTCTCACTGCCTCTGAGTGCTGCTGGCAGGCCGGCAAGTGCATTGGCAAGGTCCCGGCCTGTGCTTCTAGACTGCTCCTTGAGTGGCCAAGGCGAGAGTCAGCTCCTACCAAGGCAGGAAATGGCTGAGGAGCAACTGGTCTGGGGTCGTCTGGCCCCTGCGTTAGACCATGTTATTTTTTCACAGCCTTTCCTTCCTGGCCTGCCTGCCCCTGGGTCACCACAGACAGAGGGCATGTGATCACCCACCTACTGCTTGGGACTTGGCCCTGCACCTTGCTTGGGCCTGTGGAATAGGAGGTAACGCTATGTAAGCAAGTTCTGGGAAGAGCAGGCTCCGAGTGTCCGCTCCCTGAACTGCCCGGAGGACAAGGAGGCTGGGAAGATGCTGGGGCTGGCCAACAGACCCTGAGCGACGGATGAAATGATTACTCATTTGCTGTGAAAGAGAGGCTAAGGGACGGCCTGGCTATAGCAACTAGGCAGCCATGATGGCCTGCCTGGTTAGGCTTTTATTGTAGCAGCAGTTTGAAATAAAATTTATCTTTCAGATACAATCAGCAGGGTAAGTAATCTTGGGAGGACAGATGGGTTTACATTGTCCTCTAGGCAAGGGCATCCAGGGATTAAGCCTAAGGATTCCAGGAAACACGGGGAGTCTGCACATGCACAGGCTTGTATGGAAAGGTCAACTAATAATTAGGGGCACCCCCTTTGGCACTCCCCTGGGTCGGAATTCTGATAAACAGGGCAGGTGGTCTTCCACACCTTCCCTTTTCTCAGAATGTCCTCCTTACAAACTTTCCAACCAAGTCTCATGTGGTCCCCGACAGGAAGATATTTAGGGTCCTCCCTGTAGCTCTTCTGACTAATACAGCATGGGTGTGAATGGCCTATCAGAATTCCAATACAAGTGACCAGCCACCATTCATATATAAGAGTGTCCACTAGAATGTTCTGTGGTGACAGAGATGCTCTACATCTGTGCTGTCCAGTGATGTGATGGCCACTGACGACATATGGCTCTCGAGCACTTGAAATGTGGCTAGTATGATGAAGGCACTGAATTTTAAATGTCCTTTACTTTAAATTAATTTAGGTTTAAATCTAAATAGCCACATACGGGCATCTGAAGTTCAGGGGAGAGGCCCAGTGGAGGGGCATAGTATTTGGGATTCGTGAATAAGTATAGAGTTAGCATATATAAGTATGTATGGAATACTGGCGCATGTATACAAGATTTCAGTGTATGTCTGTTTTCCTGGGGGCAAATATAGTGCGTAATTCTTCAGATTCCCAAAGGGATCTTAGCCTCCCAAGTTAAGAGGATTCCTGGACCCCCCAGGGTCCCGGAAGTAGCCTGTTTTGTTTTTGTTTTGGGAGGCAGTCAATATTATGCTCAGAAACCGAATCTGTCTTCGTCAGCAATTTATTTAGCGCAGGTTCACGGTGGGAATTTCAGAAGCCAATAGCACGCAGGATGGTGTCTATTAATAAGCAAGACATACTCCAAACGACTGACAGTTTAATGGCACTTTTTGTTCCAGGTGAGGGGAGATGAAGGAATAAAGTCCCAATTTAATATGAAACGTACCTTTTTATACCAGGAGGCAACCAACCAAAGAGCTGAAACCCAGCTGCCAGTGCAAAAGTCACAGTCTCCTGTTGGTAGAGCACGTTGCTAGGGAACGAAAATGCCAGTGTCAGTAAGCGGGCTGTGGTGAGGTTTATCACCACAGTTCAGGAGGAATGCCTCCCCTGGGCAGGAATGAGTGCCCAGTGGTCTTAGGAGAGATTTTAGATAGCACAGAGTCCTCACCCAAACCGAAACTCTCCAGTGGTCTTCACACTCAGTATTTGGGGTCTCCGAGTCTCCTTGTCACAGTTGCTTCTCCACTTGTTCATCAGTAGGTCCCAGTGAGGGCTCTTAGCAGCTGGGATGCCGACTGCTTATCAACTGACAACAGATGAAGACTGAGACTTCTCGCTCCAGCATCGAGTCAGTCATCCACACCATAATCGTCTTGAAGAGGAGATCAGGGCTGAATGGAGGACTTGACAAGTTCCTCGACCCTGTGAATTGTCCTTGGGTTTCAGACTCCCTTATTCTCTCACGAATTCTAATTCCTTGGCTTCTTCAACCATCTCTGCTCTTCTTCCTCCTTTTGGCCATGCTGGGTGTCCTGTATGACTACAGCAGCACCTATGCTGGTTTGATTCCTGGTCAGGGCACAGGCCTGAGTTGTGGGCTTGATCCTCAGAAGGGGATGTGCAAGAGGCAGCTGATCAATGTTTTAGTTTTACCCCCTCCCTCTCCCCCCCCCTCCGCTCTATTGTTATCTTAGCTCAGAATGCCATAGACTGAGGGCTTAGATCACAGACATTTACTTCTCACAGTTCTGGACAAAGTCCCAGATCAAGGCACCAGCAGATTACATGTCTGCTGAGGGCCTGCTTCCTATTCTCACTGTGACCTCACGTGGGAAAA